CCCCGCCCCCCCCCCCCCCCCCCCCCCCCGCCTCCCTCCAGGTCCCTCTGGCGAGTGGGCAGGGGGAGGCGGTTGCACTTTACAGGCGGGGAAACTGAGGCCCGGAGGGAGGACTGACTTGCCCCAAGAGGGTCACACCACTGGCCCAAAGGCTCCGCCCAGCCCGAGAGCCCGAGCCCAGCGGTCTTCCCAGCCTGGCCGGCTCTTCCCAGACCCCCTGGCTGACACCCATGACGGAGGCCACCCCGGGGTCAACCCCTCGGCGTGGGAACCCGACCTCAGGCGGCCGGCGGGAGGGACCTTCCCAGGCGTTGGCACAGAACTCGGCCATTCGGTACTTTCGGCTTTTTGCAAATCCTGAAATATCGCCTTGTAATTGCTTAATTCGTTTTACTTAGGCTAGCCCGGGGCTCTCCAGCCGGGCGTATTAGAGAACTTTCTGCTTTTTAATAATAATACTTCGCATTTACAAAGTGCGTTTCATGTTCAAAGTGCTCTGCAGGTTCACTAATTAATCAGAACGCCAACTGCCGCCCGGGCAGGTTTGACCAAGTCCTCGGGCTCCTAATTGTGAGGGTGTAATTCTTCCCGCTGCCCGACCCCCGGCTCCCTCCCGGGGCCCCCATTTCTGTCCGCAGATGAGACTCTGGACCCTGGTCCTGGCTCGGCCCCTGGGTGCTGGGCCCTGCCCAGGGCTGGGGACACAGAGGTGCCACCTCCGGGATCCCGTGCAGGTGGCCCCGGTGCCGGGGTGGACACGTGGGGCCGAGGAGCAGGGACTGGGGCACAAGGACACGGGGACGGGGCTCCAGGAGGGGCTGTCAGGGGCGGAGAGGGGAGCCCCAGGCAGGAAGGGCGCCCTGGGCAGAGGGAACAGCCTGTACAAAGAGGTGGCGTGAGAAGCAGGAGCTCGGGGTTGAAAGCGGGAGGAGCAGATGCGCGGAAGCCGGGCCAGGCTGCAGCGGGGGCCCGGGGAGGGCCTGCGATCGGCTCAGACCACGGCTCCTGGGGGAGATTATTCGCCAGCAGCTATGGGCTGAGTGAGGGCAGTAGGGAAATGGAGAGGCCGGAGCTGGGCAGACGGAGAGGGCACAGACCCAGCCAGCAGGGACCTCAGGGGCCATTAACCGGACTCAGCCCACAGTGACCGGGAGTGAGGGGCACGCGAGGCACCGGAGGGACAGCCCGAGTCCCCCATCACTGTGGGAAGGGCCCGGAGGGTGGTGCCTTCCTTCAGACTTCCCCCCAGAAGCCGAGTGAGACGTGCCTGAAGCAGTGAATGGCCCTGTGCGTCTGGGGCTGGCAGGGTCAGGAGAGGTCAGGAGAGAAGGCCAGGGCAGGGCTAGACTTGGCAGTCGCTGGATGCAGGTGCCATTGGGGGCATCAATGAGGGGGGAGAGCAGGGCTGAGGAAGGGGGCTGGCGTCGTAGACAGCTGAGATGAGGTAGGCAGAATGGGGCCAGGTCAGAACAAGGTCAGGGCAAGGTCAGAGCAAGGTCAGGGCAAGGTCAGCTGGGCAGGACGGTGCCGTGGAAGCCACAGGAGGAGAATTCCAGGGCAGCGCTGGTGTGGCAAGGCCAGAATGCGGCCTGCAGGGGCTGCTGCGTGGGCCTCTAGGTTTCTGGGAGCCGATGTCGGAAGGACAGGCGGCTGGCGAGGGCCGGCTGGCTGTGCAGAGGAGTGTGGCAGGAAGGCGTGTGCGGCCGCGGCCGATGGAGGGAAGAGTGAAAGGAGGTTTCAGAAACGGAGAGAAGCTCATGTGGGAGAAGAGGGAAGAGCCTGGTGGGAGGGGTGCTGCAGAGCCGGGGGTCTGTCTCCCACCTGCTGGGTGCGGAGGGCGCTCTCGGGTGGGTGCCGGCAGCGGGGAGAGTCTGATCTGTGGACGCTGGTTTTCTGGGTGCAGGACGCGGCGAGGGCTTCCATGGGGCTGAAGGACCAGGCCCACCCGGTATCACAGGCTGTGGCCCAGGCCGGGCCTGCCCACCTCCTTCCGAGGAGCCGGGAGGAGCCGGGCCACGGGATGGTTCCACCACCTGGAGGTGTGTCCACACCTCAGGGGCCCGCTGTGCCCATCGAGGGCCCCGGTGTAATTCCCACCTCCTCCTGGGGATCCTAAGGGTCCAGCGGGAGCTCCCTGACCTCCCCCCGCCCGAGGCTCCCACAAGGATGGGGCTCAGCTGTTTGCTCAGGCTCCATTCCTACTGGACCCGCCAGGGGCTCAGGGAAGAGGGCTCCCCCGCACCCCTCGATCCGTCCTTTGAGCTGAGGCAGCATCAGGACTCTGGTGGCTCGCCCTCATCCCCAGCTCCAAGGCCTAAAGCTCCGAGTCTGTGGGCTGCCAGGGTGCAGGGTGTCACCTCCCACTGCCCCCTGGCTCCCTGCGCCCGTGGCTGGATGCACCCCGGCCTGAAGCCGGTGCGGGGGGCGGGGGGGGGGGCAGAGAGAAAGGTGCCCGGGAGCAGGGGCAGCGGCAGGGCCGGGCCCTAGTCTGTCTGATTGTCGCAGAGACAAGGCCCGCTGTCTCCTGGGGCTGGGCCGCTGCCAGGTCTGTGGCGACGGGAGCCGTTGCTGCCCCGAGGGACGGGGAGCACGTGGTTCCTGTCTCCACTCGGGGTTCTGACTAAGGGGGCGTCAGCACCCCGGCCCCGCAGAGCCCCAGGGCTGGGAAGGAGAGGAAAGTTCACGGAACAGCGCGTCGGTCACAGGCCCGGCCTATCATCATAATTACCTTTTATTGAGCCCTGTGCCCGACACTCCCCTCAGCCCTTCCCATGAATTATCTCGCTGACGGTTCGCCTAGCCCGAGGAGAGAGGTACCACAAGGCTGGTCCTCACTCTGCAGGCGGGGAAACTGAGGCAGGCTGCAGTCAGTGATGTCCGAGGCCACGGGGCCAGGGCTGGAGCCGGTGCCCAGTGTCGTCCATGGGAGGGCGGGACACCCAGGGGGCGGGGTGTCTCCTGACCGGTCAGGGCTTCCTCGTGGCCAAAGGAGCACTTGAGACCAGAAGTCAGTGCTCGATCTTTTCCTTTTTTTTTTTTTTTTTTTTTTGCTGCCAAACAGTGTCAGATGTGCCTTTACTTTCCACATGCTCACTGCCTGAACCCACAAAGGGAAGCACCCCGATCTGAAGAGTCCGGGGCCTAACAAGTGACTCCCCTCCTTGACAGTCGATGCCTCATTGCACTGAAGCTCTGACCAGGAGGGGTCCTGCCCTCGGGTTCGAGCCGATAGCAATGGGCAGAGCCCTGGTTAAAGGTACTGCTGCTTCCTCGTGCCCCCCCGTCTCTTTAACCACAAACTCTTACTCCGTGGAACTCTTACGTGGGATCCCCGAGATAGAAAGCAGATAAGAAACGGCTGCTCCCCACCCGGCCGGCGTGGCTCAGTGGTTGAGCGTTGACCTATGAGCCAGGAGGTCATGGCTCGATTCCCGGTCAGGGCACATGCCTGGGCTGCGGGCTTGATCCCCAGTGTGGGGCGTGCAGGAGGCAGCCGGTCCATGATTCTCTGTCATCATGATGTTTCTGTCTCTCTCTCCCTCTCCCTTCCTCTCTGACATCAATGAAAATATCTTTTGAAAAAGAAGAAAACGGTACTGCGAAGGCCCTTCTTCCCGCACAGACGCCCTGCTTCGGGGTCTGCCTTGAACTTCTTTCCCGTTCACACCATCCTGGCGTCCAGCTGGGCCCAGGCTAAGGCGCAGGCGGCTGCCCCTGGCGGCTGCCCCAGGCCCGGGGGCCTGGCCATCTTGGCGTGGGAGCTGTACACCCCGTCGCCCACAGTGGACGCGTAACAGCGTGGACAGCAGGAACGTCCGTCCGTCGCCCTGCCACCGGAGCTGCCGCAGCCTGTTCCATCACAGCCAGCACCCGGCCGCCTGTCACTCACCTGAGCGCGTCGGACCACGCCCTGGCCCGGCCAGACCCGTGAGACATCATGACTGTGACTCTCCCGGCTCCCCGAGCAGCCGGCGGGCCTCGTCTTGCCTCGGCAGCTGGGCTCCTGTGCGCCCCGAGATCATTACGGGGAGTGTGTGGCGTGAGCAGCCTCGCTGTCTCCGGTGAGGCGGCTCCGAGGGCTTGCTCGGGGCTCCCCAGGCCCGGGGCTCCCTCCCAGGGGGCCTCTGGGACCGGCCACCAGCGGCCAAGGCACAGCTTCCGATGGCCATGGGCTGAAGTCGTGCCGATGGGCTGTGTCGGGGTGGGTGTGAGTGTGGGTGCTTGTGACTGCGAGCACCACCCCGCTTTCCTGAGCCTCGGGGTCACAGCTGTGACACGGGGAGAATAATGGGTCTACGCTGTGGAGTTTAAGTTCAGGGAGATAAGGCTTCTGAAGCCCTGAGCGCAGGTGCTCGGCCCCGAGGGGACGTCCTCACGCAGGGCCCGCCCGCACGGCTCCCAGAGCCTGGAGAGTCTTGCCCGTCGCTGTCGCTCACACAGCCAAGTGCAGATGCTCTTCTTGGGGAGACACGTGCGATGAAGAGAGGAGCACAGCATGATCTTTGAATTATATTTTTAAAAATCAAGTTGGCCCGGCCAGCGTGGCTCAGTGGTTGAGCATCTACCTATGAACCAGGAGGTCAGGGTTCGATTCCCCGTCAGGGCACATGCCCGGGTTGTGGGTTCCATCCCCAGTAGGGGGCGTGCAGGAAGCAGCCGATCCATGATTCTCTCTCATCATGGATGTTTCTCTCTCCCTCCCTCTCTCTCTCTCTCTCTCTCTCTCTCTCTCCCTTCCTCTCTGAAAATCAATAAAAATATATATGTTTTTAAAAATCAAGTTGGGGCAACTGGTGCTGAGGAGGGAGAACCGGAAACGGCCGAACGTGGATAAGTGTGAAAGCGAGGTGGTGGGCGCGGGGGTGCGGATGCTCTGTGTGTACCTTGTATGTTTGAAACATCCACAATGGAACAGCTGAATGGAAACCATGGCCAGGCCACCCGGGAGTTGATTCAAGACGCGCACACGGACTGAAACGGGGTCCATTTAATACCAGCCTTTCCTGAGGGCTGACTACGGCGGGCTGGGACCCGGTGTGAGGACAGGACGGGCCCGCCTCGGGCCGCTGGGTTCACAGCAGAGACTCAGACAGGCCGCTCGGCCGTGATCACGAACGAGGAGCCTTCAAAGGAGGGACGCCTGCTCCGAGTCTGCAGCTCACGCAGGGAACAGCCTTCCAGCCGTGGGAACAGCCTGAGCACGTGCCGGGCGCACAGTGGCCCCAGCCATTCTGGACCAGCTGACTGTGAGGCCAGTGGCAGGTGACACCTCAGGGCCGCCTGCAGGGCTGGGCACCCGGAGGGGAGAGGAGGTGAGGGAAGGGCACAGCTTTAGAGCCGTCACGTCACAGCTTCGGGAGACTGGGGAGCCGGATACAGCCAGGACGCCGGGGAGGCGATGAGGCCTGAGCCGGGGCTGGTGGGGTTCGGGAAGTAAGAGCAGGACCAGGGTCTGACTTGGAGGTGGGGCCAGGCGGCTGGGTGCCTCCTCCGGCCCCCGCTCCTGGCTGCGGGGACTTGCAGAATCTGAATATTGGGGAGGAACATGCAACCTTTTGGTTAAAAGTGAAGCCGCCGTTGGAACCTTCCAGAAAGTGATGCCTACAGTTCAGCCATGACGCACATGGAGGTTGGCGTCTTGAGCAAGGAAGTGACAGTGGGGAGCAGGTCGGCCACTCGGGAACCTCGATGGAGTGAGAAGGGCAGGGTCGGAGGGCAGGGAGAGAGGGTGTCATGGCAACAAGCGGATTTGGCAACGGGCCATCCCTGGAGGCCTCCGCCAGAGGGGGGCCGGGGCTGGGCAGCAGCTGAAGCGCCTGGGGGAGAAGCCAACCAGCCGGAGCCTGGGCCAGGGCTCCCGATGGGGAAAGTGGGTGAGTCCTGGGAGCAGCGAGGGGCAGCTGGGGCAGGTGCTGCGTGTCTAGGCAGCAGGGGGCGGGGGGAGAGAGGAGGGGTGAAGACTCGCCCGGCCTCCACAGAGGGCCCCCCCTTGTCCTGCCTGGGGCGCACCCCCGCCAGCGCCAGCCTGGGCCCATCCCACCACGCTGACCTCTTCTCTCGCCGGCACCCCTGGAGCTGAGGCAGCGCAGAAAGGCCACGACTGAAGACTGGGCTCTGCTCCCAGCCCACCAGCCTCAGTCTCTCATCAGTGAACTGGGCGCAGGCAGGGTCGTCGCCGAGCTCGGGCCAGGTCGCAACGGGAGGGTGTGGACAGCACCGCCCCGCCCCGCCCACGGGCGTCTGTGCTGCTACCTCCCTCAGGGGTCCTCAGAGCATCCCGGTCTGAGGATATTTTTTCCATTGATTTCTAGAGAGAGTGGAAGGGAGAGGGAGAGACAGAGAGAGAAACGTTGATGTGAGGGACACATCGATTGGTTGCCTCCCATACATGCCCCGACCGGGGCCAGGGATCCAGCCTGCAACCAAGGTCCATGCCCTTGACCGGAATCAAAAATCGAACCCGGGACCCTTCAGTCCACGAGCCGGCGCTCTAACCACTGAGCAACCATCCAGGCTGCAATGGTCTTCCTTTCACTGTAGCTCGTCTCCAACGCCAGGGAGCTCGTGGGCCACACGGTGTCTCCTCCTGCCCTGCAAAGGTAAGCACCCTCACCTGGCTGCTCCCGGGTGGTTTCTGGGTGAATCAGTGACAGTTGGCACGTCCTCTTAGGCAGCCATCCTCTCTCCAGGGGTTTCCCCTCTTTCCAGGATGTGAGCTGCAGAGAGCCTGCCGTCCAGGGCGCGTCCTGCACCACTGCCAGGCTGTGCAAACACAGGCGGTGCTGTGGGTGCGCCCGGGGGAGGGGACGCGCCCGGCAGGAGGGACCCAGGCGGCTGCCTCGGGGGTTCTCACCCAGAGCCCAGGCTCTCCGAGGGCCGCTCTCATCTTTATTGTTGCTATTCAGGTGTCGAAGTGTCAGCCCAGGGGAAGGACAGACGGACATGGTCTCCTAACCGACAAGGTCCCATGGCTTCCAGTTAGACACCTGCTTCCGCCTGGGTAAAGGACTCAGTACTGTGCAGGCAGCGCACGACTTAGGGCCTAGGAGGTACTCGAGAGCAGCTGGGCGCTGCCCCACCTGCCCCCCAGGTATTGAACCATAAGCCCACGGCTGCGTGTCTCCGCTCACACTTTATTGCTTTGTTAGCTGAGATAGAATTCACAGACCATCAAATTGCCCTTTTACTGTGTACAATCCAGTGGTCTTAGTAGATTCTCAAGACTGTGTACCCATCACTAGTCACCCGATTCCAGAATATTTTCGTCACCCCCTCCCCTATCAACAGTCCCTCTCCATTCCCCCACCCCCAGCTGACGACCACGAATCTACTTCCTGTCTCCATGGGTTTGCTGACTCTGGACTTGTTATGTAAATGGAGTCAGAGCGCGTGGCCTTTTGCGCCTGGCTTCTCTCACCGAGCATCATGTTCTCAAGGTTCATCCATGTGGTAGCGTCATCGGCCCTTCACTCTCTTCTCGTTGCCAGATCACGTCCCCTTGGTGGCCAGGCCACACTGTGTCTGTCCACTCACCGGCGGGTGGGCATTTGGGTGGCGGCCCCTGTGGGGCTGTTCTGCAGGACCCTGCGAGGAGCACTCCTGAGCAAGTTCTTGTGTGAACATGTTTCCCATTCTCCTGGAGACACGCCTGGGAGGGGATCGCTGGGTCATATGGTAGCTCTATGTTTATGTTTTGGGGGCACTAACCAACTGTTTTCCAGACAAACACAACATTTCACGTTCCCAACAGCAGTGCATGAGGTCCCATTTCACCACATTCTCTACCTCTTATTGATCATGGGCATCCTAACCAATGGGTGGGTGCGAAGTGGTAGCTCACTGAGGTTTCGAGTTGCATTTGCATGTCATGGGCAATGGAGTTGAACTTCTTTTCATGTGCCTGCTAGCCATCTGTATACCTTCTTGGGAGAAATGTCTCTTCAAAGCCTTACCAAGCATGTCAGACTCTTGGCTGGCGGGCCACGAGTGTGACATTCTTGCCTTAGAAAATTTGGATTATTTGTCTCTTTATTGTTGAGTTGTAAGAGCTCTGTATATATTCTGGATACTAGGCCCTTATAAAATATACTAGAGGCCCGGTGCACGAAATTCATGCATGGGTAGTGTCCCGAGGCCTGGCCGGCGATCAGGGCCAATCTGCGGGGCAACCAGCCTGGCTGGTATTTTCTACTAGAGGCCCGGTGCATGAGATTTGTGCACTGGGTGTGTGTGGGGGGGGGTCCCTCAGCCCGGCCTGCGCCCTCTTGCAGTCCAGGAACCCTCAGGGTATGTCCGACTGACGGCTTAGGCCTGCTCCCCACGTGGGAGCTCACTGACTACCAGGGGGCAGCTCCTGCATTGAGCATCTGCCCCCTGGTGGTCAGTGTGCATCCTAGCAACCGGTCGTTCTGCTGTTCAGTCGATTTGCATATTAGCCTTTTATTATATAGGATGTGTACATATATATATAATATTAAATATTTGATACTAGTCATGAAATACTCAATACAAGGCCTGGAAAACGAAGTTGGAGATCTCTCCCAGGAACTAAAGCCAAACGGTGAAGAAAGACAAGAAAACTAAAGGTCTGGTTGAGGAGGCCCATTAAAAAAACAAAACAAGACATTCCAAGACTGTCTCCCCGCACTAGAGGGCTGAGTTAGGCCCGAGTTCCCGCACAACGATGGACACAGACCAGCGGCCGAGGCGTTCCTGGGAAGGTGGCCGGTTTCAACGCCTTTGCCTCTGTGATGGGGAGCAGAGAGGCCTCCGGTGGGAAGGCTGTGCAGATGGATGGCCTGAAGGAAGGGGCGGCCCTGCCTCCCAGCAGCTCCACACCCCTGAGCTCACTCCGCCTTCCCTCCGCGGGCCCTGAGGGTTCCCTGACTGATTTTACAGCACGAAACCCTGGCCTGAGGGTGCTAACCCCTGAGAGGCTCCCAGAGGGCCAGGCCCAGCCCCGCTGCAGAGCTCACCAGGGGTCCAGCCCCCTCTCCCTGGGGAGCTGCAGACAGAACGGGTTTCAGGGCCTGGGACAGAAAGGGACCTTTGGTGGCGGCCACAGGGTGAATTCGTGGGGGGAGGGGTGCTTTAGATGCGTCTTGGCTGAGACAACAGGTGTTAGCATCCCCCCGGCACCCCCCCCCCCACACACACACCCCTTGGCCTTTGAAGCCACCTGGTGCGGAGCAGTGACGCGTGTTCTGGGGCGGGTTGAGCGGTGCACACACTTGCTCCGGGGGTGGTGTGAGGAGACCAGGGCGAGGATGTCCTCGGCCGCCGTGTCTGCATCATGAGCGCGGGGGCAGGACTCGGGGGTGATGGCTGAGTCACACGGCGAATGGGAGAGCCTGCCGCCGGGCGCCGAGAGCAGCGGGTTGTGCAACGGAAGCCGGTGAGCTGGCCTCGCGATGAGTACACTCTCGGCAATTATCATTATTATTACCATCATCGTCATCGTCACTGGTTACCCTCCTCAGGTGAATCCAATTAAACGAGGTAGTTTTGCAGTCGGGTCACTCAGAGGA